GTGTGTGTGTGTGTGTGTGTGTGTGTGTGTGTGTGTGTGTGTGTGTGCGCGCGCGCGCGCGTGCGCGTGTGCGTGCGCGTGTGTGTGTGTGTGTGTGTGTGTGTGTGTGTGGAAAGAGTTTCTCTCAGACTGATTTAAATTTTATATACGTATTCACATTTAAAAAAATTGTATTTATTTCAATGTATTATTGTCAAAAGCCGCTGTCGAGGCTATTTGCACATCTTGATATTGGCGCGGTGTGCATTTGATATTCTCTGATCGTATTTTTCTTATATTATCACACTGTAATACAATTTTATACTGTATCTACGACACCATCAATAAAAGAATTATACATGAATCAGCATTCGATAAAATATTGCGACTCAATGTGGGCTAATGGGAAAAATAGGAGCTCTAACAGAATTGATATATTTCATACATGCTAAAAATATAAATAAAACAGTGCGTTATCCATAAACATTTTTTAAACCCTATATACGTCTAATAATTGATTCTTTCAGATATAAACTTTATAACATTGAATATAAAAAATGACATTGCAAAAAAATTAATCTTTTAATTAAACATCATAAACGCATGTGAATATAACATATAATATGACATATAATAGAGATAAAAACATACTTGACTGAGATGTATCATATTGATATCACACAATCGATATAAAAAAGATATTATATATATAAGAAGCAGAGAGAATGTTTTTTATAATACATTTATTTCCAAAATGTTGTCGGATTACATAAGGCAACATGAAGAACAGATATAAAAGAGCTTTCATTATCTCGAAAAAAATGTTGCTTTGTGTTGAAATTACGTGATTGAGGCGTGTAGTATATAAAACATATAAATTTCATCAATTAATGTCATAAATATGTTATCTTTTACTTGCATGCTCTTGAACGAGGATATCAAACTATCAGTTTTACAATATACCAATTTATAGGTGACCCAGGATATCAGTGAAATGTGATTGAGATAAACACGAAAAAACGTGTGTAATAATAATATATAAACGCTATGATATGATATCTTGTTATTCTGCGATTTTTTAAGTGATTATCTAGTCTTATTAAAATTATGTCTGCGGAAATCTGTATAATTAAAAATTACTAAATTTTTTCGTAGCATAAAAGATAATAATTTCAATTTTATTGTAATAATTTAAACTTGTCTTTTAAAGTAACGATTAAATTCTTTGGTTTTGTCGCCGTAATCAGCGCTTAATAGATTATAAGTATTCCTGTGAAAGAGCATTACGCCTTACATATGGTATTCCAGACATACAGAATATATTTATATAATAGAATGTATTCGTACATATTCTCTAACATAAATCTATTGGTATTATATTTTTTTTAATTTTGAAAGATTATTTCGTAACTGACAAATATCTTATAACTTTGTTACTATGGCAGATTGCTTGTTTCATATCTTTACTATTATCATGTAGACATTCTTCAAAAAACAGATTTTTGTATCACATAGTGATGGATATCGTATCTTATTATGAAAAATTACTTATATCAATGTTCCCATAGGCCTATTAATAATGATGTGTGTCATGTTACATAACATTTTGATATATTCTCTCTCCGTCTCCTCTCATTCTGCATTTAATCCTTTTAATAAAATTCCAATTAATGTAATTTTTTTATTATTGTCGCTCTATTAAATTATCTGTTCTGGATAAATTAATCAAAGAAAAGGTGAACACATTGCAAAGACGAAGACAAATATTTTCGCCTCTCAAACATATTTATAACATATATAATAATAATAGAATAGTGCAAAAACACATAGTTAATCCATACATTATTCAATATATATAATACATTTCTCAGCAAAAACACAAGAATAAAACTTGTGCCTTAATTTATCAGGAATTTATTACGCGGTTCTACATCGCAAATATTTGGAGCTCGCTTTAAATTTATATTACAGTTTTGCGATAATTAACTAATCCGCGATAAATTATATTTAATTTTATTAATAATTAAAAATAAAATATTTTAATAAGATATAAAATGATGACATGCAGGGCATATAAAAAGAACATTTGTCATTGGTAATAATAGACGAGAACTAATAATAGACAATTGATATCAATAAGTATCAGTATTTTGAACAATTTTAATTATTTTAATTAGTTTAATAAAATTAAAAAGACAACGTATGCTTTTTTATATGTAATGTCCTAGATTTTTTGTACAAACGTTAGTATAGTATGTTCTATGAGCAGAAATAAGAAAAAAATGTTATATAAACATAGGTCCCAAAATGCTTTATTAGAAAGTTATAGCAAAAGTACGAAATGTGTAAGAAACAATTTCACTTAAGTTTGCGTTTTAAAGTGCCATCCGTCCATGTCAATACGAGCTATACATCCATATAATATTGAAATCACTTTCAGAATTTAAACCCGTCAAGCGTAATTGCAAATAAATATTAGTAAAGACTGCGTGATGCGGCTCTCTTCTGTTAGAGAATTTTGGTTGATATTCCTTAACAGAAGTCCTTGCATTCACAAAATGAATATCCATGTATTTATTTGCGTGCATTTATCGTGATAATTCACAATATTTTGGGATAATGTTCTACAAGGTACTGTTCGTTACTAGTATTCATACAAATTTTTATAATAACCTTCAATCATTTCAAATAGTAAGCATGATAGAGTAAGCACTAAAAGAAGCAGATGAGATAAAAATCATCGAACGGCGTATCACTTATGTATATGACGTGTCACTTATCTCTATGGCAAGACCGTTGTTATCTCTTATAATAAAGCATTTCGAGACCTATGTTTATATAACATTTTTTCCTTATTTCTACTCATAGAACATACTAAAGTTGTACGGAAAAACCTTGTATATATGTATAAAACTATTATCGAATATATTAACATGCCATTTAAAATAAAATAATATAATCATGTGTGTTGCATGTGTGTATGTATATTACAATTATATTTCGTTTCATTTTTGTCTATAGGTATTACACTTAAAATATCTGTATATACATATAAATTTATCTGTCAAGATAAATTGGACAAAATAGGCTAGAGAGAGATTGGGATACTTGTCTTTTGATACTCTCGAAGAATCTCATTAAAGTTAGTAGGAGAATACATAAGAAATAAAGCAAACTGAATGCAATTCAAATTTCATTCTTTTCTAGAGATTACAATTTGAAAAAAGTCAACTAAATCGAAGTAAATTGCTAGTTAAATGATTGATATCAGAAGAACATAATGTGCAAGAGATAAAAAAAATCTCTATCTATCGAATCTTATCTTATTTAACTGTCTTCAAATGGTCTTTAGTCTGGAAAGAGAGGCAAATATATATAGAGACAGATATTTTAAGATGCAATTTTATATAAAATAATATGATTGTAACGCATACATATATTTTTTAAACAAATAACAGTATTTTATTTTTATTTTACGATTATTAAAAACCACACACATGTACATCCACAATTATGGATGTATTATATGTATGCACTGAAAATACTGTTATTAAAAATGTATACGACAAATAAAAATAATAATATTTTTTAATATAAAAAAGATTTCAGTTTTTAGACTAACTACATTATGCACTAAATTATATTAATTTAAATTATGAGTATATAAAATAATTTATGCTAGGAAACAAAGTAAAACTTCCAATGTATGATATTTCATTGTTATTTCATAGCGTTTCATGATGTTACTGAATTTAAAAATATCCAATCAGAGTAGAGAATTTTATTTTAAAATTCTCTACAAAGAATTCAATATTGTGTTCAAAGATTCAATAATTCTATTTATTAACGGAATTCGTAAGAATATTTTGTGCTTTAGTAAGCTCTTTAAAACAATATGAAAAATAATTCTACACAATTATACCACGAATTTAGCGCTATTAAATCAAAGGGTATAAACTTCAGAGAAACATAAGCTATATCAGTATAATTGCAAGTAGCATATCTTAATAAGTTATGTATTATTTAAAAATCTATGATATAATATATGGTGTCTCATGTTTTTGCATTATTCGAATACTTCTGCATTATATGATATCTGAAAGTACGCTCGTAAATCGATTAACGAGTATATATGTAAAAAAAATTCGCAAGCATCACATTATATCTTACTTCACTCTACTAGAAGATCAATAACATATTTAGCATATCTGAAACTAATCTTAAAATATGTTATTTAAATATATATGGCAATATACATAACAAAGGCAATCAACGAGAATACATTAGTTGTCGAGCTAATGTATTAGTTATAAACTATTCGAAAACAACTGTCGTGTCATAACAAGTCATAGAGAGTTTACAAAGTAGCATACTTAATAAAAATATTTCGTATATTCATAAATCTATCAGGTGGTAACATAACTCGTAAAACTTATCATTTCCTTCCATGCGTCCCTATGATACAGTATTTATTATGCTACGTACAAATGTCAATTATCTAATGTTTTAGTATAAACAAGTTACTTTCCAAAACGAGCAAAGACAAACGTTCGTCCCGTGTAACTCGATACAGAGCGATTACCAAATTATACGAACGATATAAAATGATCGATTTTCCATAGAATTTGCAACATTATTGTATCGTTTTTCCGTTATCACAGATTGTTTTGGTGGTAGGCCCATTTGCAATATCACGTTCTAGAGAAGGCCTACAATGGACTAGAGCATTTTAGCAGAAACATTTCGGATTCTGCGCTAAAGTGTTTAAACCGCCATCATGTTTCTAGCGTCGGGAAGAGTCTCGTTAATACGAAATAGGCCACGTCGTAGTTATTCCAATATGCCGTATGTGCTGTTACGGTGTACAAATAATTCCTTCCTAAGCCAACCGCACGTAGCACATAATCCAATCGTTGCGCTAATTCTAATGACGCAAAAGATATTTGTAAATAATTTATAACAGAGGAGGTTTCTGTATATAGTAATATCGCATATTATAATAATCACCTTGACCTGGACGGATTGGTGGATTTGAGTCTGGTGTCGGCGAAGACGGACCTTCTCTAACGTTCCAACCACCGCGCACTAAATCCCAAAGGCTCCAGCCCTTCTCTGCATTACGATTGGGTGGACTATCCACAGGGCTATCATCTTTATCATCAGTTTCTGTTACTACGCATAATGGCACCATATTATTTTAAATATTCTTAGTTAAGATTTTTAACTTAAAAGCATAGACCTGTCTATGCTTAAGAGTTGAAAATATTCGCAATATTTTCAGAAAGGAAATAACTTTTTGAAGAGTTAAGTATTGACTCTTGTACAGTACACACATCTTTGCATCCGTTTTGGGTAATTATCTAGTATAAGGGATGCCGATCCGATGACCTTCATCTTGACATATGTTGTCAAGGTTATGACCCCGAGTGACCACCTTCAGAAGATTTTAGCCGTAGCTCGTTATTCGTTAAACGTTATTAACAAAAAAAGTTTGAAAAATATAGCAGTTATTTTGAGTATTAGAAGGCATAAACGACTAATATGTATGTGGAAATAATACATGTATAAACGAAGGAAAGTCATTTAAAGCAGCGAATTATTGCTTTCGGTTAAAGCAGTAAAAATTTTTATTTAGTATTTAAAGAAATAACACAAAAATTATATAAGCTCAATCAAATATATGTAAACAATATATAATCGTATATGCATACGATTTCTAGTCAGATGTACTGTCAGTAAGAGGATATAGACGACTTCAACGCAGCCATGTATATAGTTAGTTTATTTTAAAATTGAATGTTTGTGTTTTTGGTTAAAGCAGAGAATACTTTTCGTATTTATACTTTTCTATAACATAAAATCATATTATACTTTTCTATACCAACTATTCTCCGCTTAAAAAAAAAACTATTCTATTTATTAACGATTCACTGCTTTAAATGACTTTCCTTCGTTCATACTCTATTTCCACATACATATTAGTCTTCTAATACTCAAAATAACTGCTATATTTTTCAAACTTTTTTTGTTAATAACTTTTTAACGAATAACGAACGACGGCTAAAACCTTCTGAAGGTCACTCGGAGTCATGACCTTGACAACATATGTCAAGGTCAAGGTCATCGGAGCAGCATCCCTTATACTAGATAATTGCCAAAATCTATACAAACAGCTTAAGAATTAAGATACTTTCTTGTCATTTGTTCCAGTTTAATTTAGATCAGCTTAAACTGAGTATTTATTATTTTAACTACACATAGTAACTTATGTAGACAAAAGTATTAGAAGTAATAGAAATCTATATGCAAAATGACTTCTAATTATACATCGATATTTCTGAAGATAAATGTAAAGTCCAAACAAAAAAAAATAAAGTTAGACTTTATATTCCGGTTTTAAAATCGCGTTATAAAAGGTCGTATCAAATAATAAGAAAAGCTTGAAGAATGAAATACCCGTAGGCGGTAGAGGTGGATCCACGTTGTTCAGCGACGAAGGTGACTGTGGCATTTGCTGATCGTCAACTCCTCCGTACGGTGGTATCAGAACTGGCTCGATTTTACTGTAACCTCTTTCCAACAGTGGTTCCATTCTGTAAGCCACTGGGTCGGACCAGTGAAATATGTTGTAAAATCTCTTGCATAAACTTTGCGGCATCACGTCTAGTCTATTGGATGGAGTACGTGTACGCAGCGCCAGGAACACGGACAACGGCGAACCCAGGCAAAACAAGTTCTCAATCTATAAACGGAAAAAACGATTTTTGCTTAATATAATTCTTACAATTAAAAATTATTTGCGTGAGTCTCTTTTGTAAATGTAGTTTAAAATTTAACTTAAACTATCGATTTATCTTGCATTGTTTATTCACAGAGAATTATGATTACTCACGGGAAACTGCAGTCCTTGCAATAAGACTTCTTGTGCCTGCGGGCATGGGAGCCGTGTGTCAGGTCCTATCCAGCCTGTAACTATGTCGTATACGATCACGCATCCTAGAGAATGCGCCAAAATCGAGACCTTTCCTTGCCAACCAGGATGCCGACTCGCGAACATGAAGTACAATCTATTCAGCTCCTTTTGCAAGCCAGCTCGGACTTCAGCGCCATACAGAGGACTTGTATAATACAAAATATCCATTGCCGATGTATTTAGCAAGTGACGTATGCTCAATACACTATAAGGCGTAATTGCATCTACTATATCTGAAAGAAGAAGTTAATGTTACACATTCGGTAAATTAAGTAGATGTTTGCACAGTAAATTATTTATTTTTTACCTCCATCCAACTTCAACGACGACCGCCATTCAACTGGAAAGAATTCTACTCTGTGTTTAGAATTTGGAAAGTACTTCTGTCTAAGCCAACCCACGCAATCTCTGAAACTGTTAATTTATTCGTATTTTAAAAACAATATTTTATAAAAATACTCCATTACATATTGCATAAGAATGCGTATTATTTTTATATACCATGTTGTGTTACGTATAATCTTTCCAGTATCTCGTTTTTGTCCTATTCCGTGAACAACAAATACTAGATGGTCGATATCACGCGGCTTATCCTCCATACTTGTACACGTTTTATGTCCCCTTTTTAATCGATAGCCTGTTGCTGCCAATTAGAATTGAAAACGGATTTGGGTAACGTAAAGATACAAAAATGGCTTAAATATTTTCATCATCTCTGATTCTGAACTTACTTTTAGCAAAACCCAATTTTGATGTAACGCTACGCATCAATTTAGTAGGAGTATATTCGCTATACAGTGTCACATCGTTAACCGAGTGCCAGTCAACGTGAAATTCGGGGAACTGCTCGGTGTGTAATACTGAAAAAGCAAAAAGAAAAGCTTTAATATTAAATCCATGCACACGCACATACCATCCACGTACACATGTGCATTATACAAGTTTAAGAAAATCAAAAGAATAAAAAGAGTAAAACGAGCACCTTTATAGGATTGAGGAGTATTTGTATCACATGTAGTGATACTTTGATTGTTGCTGTCCTTTTGGAATAATTTAAGATGTACCTCTTCTATTACTTTGGAATGTTCCGTTTCTAATGGTATCCAACTGCCATCATAATACCATATACCTCTCATAATTTCCCATTCCTCACCTTCAATAAAAATTTGTACAATTCATTATATTTGTACAAACTATAATTTGCGTTTCTTGCGTATTCCATATATATTCAAAGTAAACAAATTCTATATAAACTTAAACATTCGTTACTTAGCTTTGCCCGAAAGAGTGAAATTTGAAGTTACTTATATTCGAATACTCTTACCTTTTACAGAAAAATTAGATTATTGATAACTCCGTAATGCTAAAAAATTATAATAGGAAAATGCAAGAAAAAACAGGTTTTGTCATACAATAGCACTGTTAATAATTTAAATTGAGCTTTTATTTGTACATATTACAAGATATATAAATAATGACATATATTTTGCCAAGTGCTCTGAATGAACTCTTTTTTACAGCGATAGAATCTATTGCCTGCGTTATATTTGTTTCGCACATGTTGCAAGTCATAATAGGCACAGTCAATACGAATTGGCTATAATAACCTCAAGGACAAAGTAATAGTCTGCAGTATAAAGACATACATTGCACGCACAAACGGAAAAAATATACAGAAATTTAAACAGGCATTGAATCATTATTAAGGCATTCGTGCATATTCGCATCAGCTGTTAATTCGCTGTTATTGGCATTATTGACTTCGGCAATAGGCAGAGGCAATTGGTAAATATGCAAAACGGCATGAAGAATAGAGTATAACGTGCTAAGGGTAAAAGGAAGATAAAATGTACGTGATATTTACCTGGCCAGTATATCGAAACGCATTTCATATTATCGATGTCGACATCGTACATGCCACCTCTGACTACAATTTTCTCAGCGGGTGGCAAGCCGTTCGTTCCGTCATTACTTTCGCTAATTAAACTCTGACGTTCCCGATAAATTCTTTCGATTCTCAAACTATCGTACCCGCAAAACTCGTTCCACCTCTTGTCAACGCCGTCTTTATAAAACCACTGTATTTCCTCCGGGGTCAAAGGCTCAGCATAAGCTGCTTTACTCACAGTATTAATTTCTACATTGTTCTTTGGACTTTTTTCCACTATCACTTCGTCATCACCTTCACATAGGACATAAATTTCAAGTCACATCTCATATCCTATCAATAATTAACGATGATAGTAACAAAAGATAAATTTTATAATTTGATTTTTATCGTGGATCTTAATTTATACAGAGAGAGTGTTAAAAATAAAAACAAATAAATAAAACTAGAATTATTTATACCTTTTGAATAATTGACATGCTTCAAAAAAGGTATAAATATCTAAATAAAAATAATCTCGTTTTTAAAAATAGATATTTATATAAAAATATAATAGACAGCATAATAAATATATTTAATATATAATTATCGATATAAATCTTAATATGATATTTGCTTTTGAAACTTTGTAGATTTATTTTAGGGAAAAAATACATGCTATATGATAAATCTAAATAGATAAATAAACTCTAATCTATCAAGAAACACGAATAAATTAGAAAGCCTCAAATCTAACGAACCAAATTCGCCTCGCGTGCTCGATCAAATGTGCAACGTTACGCTCAAGCTCTCAAGGATCTCGCGGTTTAAACATCTCGCGAATATACACGGTGTCTATTCGCGATAAGCGAGCTAACAATGCAACGGTCGCCGGCGGCGTATCAAACAATAGCACCTGATCGCACCGCGCGATAACGTCATTCTATAACGGTAGTTTTATTCTATAATGGTGGAAAATCACCAGGATTCGTCGCGCGTCTTCTCGTACCTTCGCCGGGCTCTTGCTCCCCAGGCATCTCCATCGGCATCTCGCTGAACGGATCGACCTCGCTGAGATTGTTGGACATTCCGTCGAGCTGTCAGGCAGATCGCTGATGGAACTCGAGCCTGCCGGGCACACTGCACACAGTGCACACTGGAGCTTCGTGAGCTTCAGACAGCGATAAATCGTCGTCGTCGTCGTCGTCGTCGTCGTCGTCGGCGTCGTCGCGCGTGGGCGGCGATCACGAGAATACGACAGATACGGCTCTTATCGCGGATCTGTTACCCTCGCGCTATCGCGAACGTGACGCGCCGTCGGCGGGAATGAACTTTGCACGAGCGCGAAGGAAAGCGCGAAACATGCCGAGCGTAATGAGGAAGAGAGAACGGACGCGCGGCCGCGCGGTGAGATACGGCCCGACGGTTCTAGCCTCTTCCGCGAATCACCACACCAGCGTCCGATTGTCGTCCTTGGACGCGAATCCGAACTCGCGCGACGACGGCGGACGCTATCTCGTGCGCGCATTCACTCTCGCGCGTGTTTACTCTTGCGGAGACTGAGGGGAACGTTCCGCCGCGACGCGACGCTACGCCAATGCAACGCAACGCGATGCGGCGCGATGCAGCGCAACGCGATGCGATGCGACGCGATCGCAACGACGACGACCGCGCGGTATCTTCTGGGCCCGTCGCCTACCTGCCTCACATCGCGCGCTTTATATAATGCGCGACTTTTCCGGCTGGACCACCTCTTGGACCACCTCGCCACCGCGGTGATGTAGTTCGTCGCGTTGCGCGATCGCGACGCCGCGCCGACCGCGAACAGCTGATGCTGATGGCCCCAATGGGACTCTACCGCAATACAGCACATGCAGCGCGGCCAGCGCGTTCAATGTATAGTGATGTCGTGCGTGTGATGTCGTGAATTGTCGTGTCGCCGCCGCGCGAGCGTCAACGAGCGGCGTGCGCGCGATGACGCGCGGTGACGTATACTCTACTCCATGATACTCTACTCTTTATTGCTCTCTCTCCCTATCCTATGCGGCACAGAACCGCACACGCGCATCGAGCGGCCGGTGCCACCGCGCACCGGTGCGGTGGACGGGAAAACTGGTGGAGTGGGGAGTGGTTGCACCTGGAAAGGACCGTGAGGGCGAAGGTATGACAGAGATTGCGAGGGAGTAGTTTGAATAACGGTACGTGACTCTAAAAAGCAGAGTAACCGAAATAAGAGTCCGTGCTCCATTCATCCAATTCGTAATCCACGAATGTGTGCGAATTTGTGGTTGCCCGCACGCCATCCTGTAGCCCTATTCTGTAACTCTAACGACAGTATCGGTATCGTTATATCGTCGTTGCGCAGCTTTTTTTCCATATAATATACCTGCGCAACGACATCATAACGATAACGACACTGTCGTTAAGAGTTACAGAATAGGAGTACTGGTGCGTGTTCTACGCGGCCTTGTGCGCGAAGACGTTTAAATATAATACAAGTCGATCGTTTGATGTATAAAAATATAATTATGAGGATGTTAAGCAAGGGGATCCTAAAGCCGTCCATAATACTGATTTTTTTAAAATACGCATATCTTTTTATTAATTTATTGGCTTTATGCCATGGATTTAAAAAAAATCCTTCTTCAAAGTTAAAGTATGCACTAATATATATGCTTTCCACGCCGGTGGAAATCGATTTTATGCCGAGAACGAAAATAATTTCAGAAATGTATAGATGATCTTCGTTACCTTCTCTAAGGCTAATTACATTATTTTGCTTCATATAAAAATTCTACAATTTGTTTACAAAATGAGACCGGCGTGGAGAGTGGATTATTGCATGAAGAAATAACATACCGTTCTCAGAATTAGGCTTAGATACCTAACAAAAAAGATATGTGTAAAAAATAATTAAAGATTAAAGTGAATGTGTACGTGCGATGCCCGTATGGAAGAGTACCAGAATATATTATTTGCTGTGGAGTGCATTCAATACTTTATCTTTAGAAATGGATTTTTAAATCTGTATAACAAAATAAAAAAATAAATTTGTTTTAAAAAAGTCGCGTTAGGAGATCCTATATACATCCTATATACATATAGTGACATTTTTATCGATTATTTATTTTTAGAAGAAATCTTGAAGAAAGAAATTGACTTTACAGAATTGCAAAACTCTTTTTACACTGCAATTAATTAAAATACGCACAAAAATCTAAAATAGGGCAATCGATTTTATATCAAAAACGGAAAAAATTGAAAATTTGAGTGGTCTAGTGGTAGAGCGCCAGACTCGTAATCTGAGGAAGCAGGTTCGAGTCCACTAGAGCCATGAAGCATGGAATAGTTATTCGTGTAACAAGTGTCCTTGTCCTCGCCTTCGGCTCGTGCGTAAACTCCGCACCCGGGAATTTTCATCTTTACACACGACTCCTTATTTTATGTTGCAAGTGCCTGGAAAGTGGTCTATCACGCACGCGTAGCGTGCGTAATGGGGCACTTTCCATGCACGTGTTGCATAAATGTTTTTTCCGATAGCTGCGCCCCTCCGTGCAAGATAGGCTCTTGTGCAGAGAAAACTGGGCTCCGTCTTTCGGAAAGAGACGTTAAGCCGTTGGTCCAAAGGGTTAAAGTGCGAGGAGAAGGATAGTATTGGTAGTAGATTGCGAACCCTGCGGGGATATGCAATAAATTACGAATTTTACAGGAATTAGAAGCACATGCAGGTTGATAAAATGAACAGTAAGTATAATTTCGACATTTCTAATCTCGTTGTCTATGTATCGGCTTATATCTGTCCTTGTCCGATTGCTGCGTCATCTCTGGCTACACGCAATACTGCTCATATATAAAAATATATATAATTTTGATCTTTTCTTTTCAAAAAAATTATGCAATATATATATCCGCCATTAGTGAGCGTTTTCGGTCTTTGCGCCTGACATACACACACACACACACACACACACACACACACACACACACACACACA